AGTACTGACTCTAATCCGATCCCCCGTCAAATTGTGAGTAGAAGCAGCAGAACCTTTCCTAAGGGCACGGGAAAGCCCTTCCACGAGGAAGCGCCATGGTGTGTGCGCCAGCAGCCGAGAGCTGCGCTGCGCGAGCGATGAAGTCACCCGAAAGGTCTCTGGGGACTTTCCGCCCGCTTGGGAGCCGGGTCTCCGCAGTCTAGCGTGCGTCACGCGCAGCGCCCCGCCCCGAGCCCTCTCTGCGCACGCATCTCTCCCGGGCGGTGCGTCGCTCAGCACAGTCGGTGGCGTTGGGTCCTGAGAGCCGCCGTGGGTAGCGAGCAGCTAGCGCCGCAGACAGGAGAGGCCGCGCCTGAAGATTGCAAAACTAACCAGACGACCGTCCTCGTGGTCTGCCTTTCATTTTTAAAAGGTGTTGAATATGGCTGCATAATGAAAATTAACTTAAAGGCGATTTTCTGCACTTTCGATGGGGTAAAATTCTTGACTGTGGTTTCCGCGTGTGGTGGGGATGGAACCCAGGCCCTGCGCGAGCTGCGCATGCGCCCACCACTGAGCACCACCCCCACCTTCATGTTTGATTTTTTAAAAAATGATAAATATCTGGAAGTAAATACGCCGTTAGCCTCTAATGACATCATTTTCCATCTAAGACATGCGGCTGTTTCATGCTAACTATTCAAGAACGGACCCTAGCAAGGCTCTTCTGGGAGCATGTGCTGAGCCCGGCCCCCCTCGCCTTGGCCTGCCTGCAGCTCAGCGCTCGGACCACGACAATGACCAAGCCCCTAACCATGGGGCTTTGGCTGGGGGCGGGGGGGAGGTGACAGAAGAATTGCTGTAGAGTGGAGAGGACAGGGTAGGGGGCCCGTGCGAGGAAGCCCACCCTCCACCCCTGTAGCAGTGCTAGCACCCCTGGGAGGCTGATGCTCTTACCCCCACCTTACAGATGAGGAAACTGAGGCAGAGAGGTGGGCAGCTAGGAAGCTAGCAGAACTGGGGGATTAGCCCGAGCCATTCTGGTCCCAGAGCTGTCCTCACCGCTGGGGCCCCTGTCTGCTCCCCACACTGCCCAGTGAGGAGCTGCGCAGCAGCAGGGCAGGGGTGTTTGTGGGGGGCAGGATGTGGCATGGATGTGCCTGCCTGACTTCCAATACCATTGCTGTAAATTCTGAGGTGTCCGCGCAGCATTGCCCAGTGGGGCTCACAGCAGCCCCAGAAGGGGTGTGCCCGTGGGTGTGCCGGCCTGTGGGTGTGCCCTCCGTGGGTGTCAGAGCAGACAGGAGAGGTCAGAGCCCTGGTACTACTTTGCCCATGACATCCTACAGCTGCGCATCCCCCTTTATTTATTTATATCTTTTATTTTTTTTTCCTTTGTGGAACCGGGGATTGAACTCAGGCCCTTGTGCTTGCCGGGAAGCGCTTATTCTACTGAGCCATCTTCCCAGCCCTATTTATTTATTTATTTTTTTCAGCCCTATTTATTTTTAATGTATTGAGTACAGGGTCTACAGGGTCTCACTACACAGATTGGACTTGTAATGATCCTTCCTGTTTTGCAGCCTCCTAAGCGCTGGGATTATAGGCCTGTGCCACCATGCCCAGTCTTAATTGCAGGGGCGGAGCTGGCATGGCAGCATCTACGTTTACAACCAGGTAAAATCACCTTGAAAACCAGGACCACAGCCTTTAATGCACCCACAGCAACCAGCCCGGGCGGAACCTCGTGGGGCTGTGAGTGGTGGACCCACTGCTAGGTGAACTCGGTGGCTTCCTCCCTCCCCTTTACAGACACAGGCAGTGGGATCTAGTCACAGGATGTGACAGGAGACAGCTGGTCCTGGGAGGCGTGGCTGTGTTGGAATGGACCAGGTGGAGGACTGAGACAACGGTGGCCCCCAGTCGGCCTCGAAGCCACAGGACTCTTCATGGCTTAAGAATGTGTACAAAAAGCCAGGTGTGGAGATGCACACCTGTAAGCCAGCAGTCTGGGAGGCTGAGGCAGGAAGCTGTGAGCTCAAGGCCAGACTGGGCCACCTGGAGACAGTGTGAGCCTGTCTTATGATAAAAGATGATAACAGCGCTGTAGCTCAGTGCAAAGGCCCTGGGTTCCAGGCGGCAGCCCCACACAAAAATAGATGCAGAGATAATTATTATTAAACACGAATCATGGGTCAGCAGTGCGCAAGACCCAATAGACGAGCAGAAGGTACAGGAGATGTGGTCCGGCAGGGTGGACAGGCCAGAAAACCAGGATCACAGCTGTGTCCCAGTAGTGACAGGAAGTCTGGCAGCAAGACAAGGAGAGGCCTGGCAGGGGCAGGAGCTGGGCTGGGGAGGCCTCACAGTGTGGACACAGTGAAGAAATGAGAGCAGGGGCTCTGAACACAGCTGCGGCTGGCTCTCATCAAGTAGAGTCACCAGTAAGCACTGTGCAGGTGGATGGGGACCTGAGGGCTTGCACGAGAGCAGCCCCAGGGGGAAACAGAGGTGGCCAAGAGGAGTGTGGGCGGGTCTGACACGCACGTGTTCTGTTAGTTATCAAGTGGTTTCAGCTTGGCCCACAATAAGGCTGGGTGCACACATAGCGCCCTCTGTGGAGGTGAGGATGGAGCTAACCAGAGAGATGAAGCTTCCTGGACGCTGAAGAGCTGTGACGGAAAGGTTAGGCAGGGGACAACCTGGAGGAGGAGCCAGGAATGAGGCCAGGTGGTTTCTAGGTCAGGAGGGTGAAAGTGAAACCATCCCCAACCCCGCCTTGAGAAGTAGATGGGAGCCCAGGGTCAGCGTGCTTTTAGGTCTCAGGGAGTGGACCTGAAATCAGGTCCAAAGCAGCAGAGGGAAGGCTTGTGGCTGGGGGCTGTCAGGGGTAGGTGTGGTGGGCGGAAGTCTCCGAGCCCATCCTACAGCCCACACAGTGGGAACACGGTGCACCCTAGCCTCCAGCCCCAAAGCAAGGGAGCCCCAGGGCTAGGAGAGTGCGGCCACTGCTCTTAGGGACACGGGCGGGCTGCAGACCAAGCGGGGAGGAGGCAATCCTCTCGCTGGGGGCAGGCAGCAAGGAAGCCCAGCTGGAGGCCCGCACACAGCCCCAGGGTAACTCTGGAAGAGTGTGAGGCAGGTCAGGCAGGCCTCAGCACACCCCAGGGTCCTTCTGACCTTCGGGTCCTCACACAGCGCTCAGCACCTGCGCCGGAGCCCACCAGAGCTGACGCACTCCTCAAGGTGCCAGGGCCGACCCTCGCGCCAACCGGCCACCTGCAGCCCACTCACCCGCCCTGCCAGGCTGCCTGCTCCCCGACAGAGCTCCCGCCTCCTCCCCACCGCCCCAGCATGGCTGCTGAGCTGGGTGCAGAGTCGCCGTGTGTGATCCCTGACGGTCATCCCCAGAGCCAAGCACGGGGACACAGAAAACAGGGAACTCCGAAGAGAGGAAGAGAGCCCTTTGGCGTGCCGTGACCGTGAGGCCCAGAGGAAGTGAAAGCGGATGGCGTGCGGCGGCGGCGAAGGCTGCCCGAGGGCACCGGGATCCGCCGGCCGGCCGGGTGTGCGAGCGGCGCCAGAACCAGGACCAGAGACCGGGCCTGTCCCGCCGGGCCACACCTGTTCCTCCGGTGACCAAGCGTCCACCCTCGGGTCACTGGCTGCCTGCTGTGCTTGCGCTCGGCTCTTGCCAACAAAATCCCAGCGAATCAGTAACTTGAAACAGCGGCCGCTTAAGGTCTCCCTCGGGTCCGGAGTCCAGGCCGCGGAAGAGGCGGGGCTGGGGCGCGGGAGGGCGGCGAGAGCGAGGGGCGGGCTGGACCCGGTCCCCGGAGCAGGCGCGGCCGCGCGGTCGGTCGGTCGGTCGGTCGGCGCGGCGGCAGGTGAGCGCTCTGGGCCGCTGGTGTGGGCGGGAGACGGCGGGCTCTGCCCCGCGCTTCCCCCGCGTCCGGGTGGCCTCTTCCCTCGGTGGTCGGGGCCGGCGGTGACACGGGGCCGGAGGGGGCGCAGGGCTGACCTGCGGGCCCGTGGTGGGTCCAGGCCGCGCAGTCCTGTCCCCAGGCGGGACCTGGCCATCCGCGAGTGCCCCCCAGCGCCGTCTGCAGCACCAGCGGGAGAACCTGCTCGGAGCCAGAGCCCCTCCCGGGGCCGCAGCACCCACCCAAACACCGGCGCCCCGTCCCACTTACCTGGAGCGCGGGGCCGCAGCTTCCGGACTCCGAGAGGAGGGAGAGCTGCTGAAAGAGAAGAGATGTGGCCCTGTGGAGAAACCGCCTGCGCTGGGCCCTAGAAACCATGTGGAAAGATGTTTCCCGGGCCAGACCGGCTTGGGACCACCCGGAGGTCTGGGATGGACGGCGGGCGAGGGTGGCCCAGCGCTCCACCTCCCCCAGCTTCAGGGCAGCTGGGTCTGCAGCGCGGGAGCACATCATCTGGCCTGTGCACGGCCAACAGGCAGCAGGAGCTGTGGCCCGCAGACACCCTTGCTGAGCAGTGGCCTGGTCAGCACCGCGCCATGTGGACATCGTGTCGCTGGTCTGCTGCTGTGGAGCATGCGTGTGACGTGTGATCGGCCGCTCTTCTCAGGTTCACGGAGGATCTGAGCTGTGTGTCCTGGACCTCTGTCTCACTTCACCTCACTGTGGGAGTCAGAAAACGGTGGCCAGCATGCTGGGCTCAGCCAATCAGAAAGGGAGCCGAAGCCAGCTGTGAGGTTGGGCTGCAGTCTGGTCAAGGGGTGCAGAGGGCCTAGGCCTGCATATCAGGCCATATTGTTATCACCAGGAGGATGGTGCCCAGGCATATGGGCTTAGTTATCCAACTGGACGACCAGGAGATGGTGGCCCAAAGTGCTCTCCAGCTCCACTGGGAGGCAGATGTGGAGGAAGAGACCTTACCTGTCCTGGGCTGAGCTGCCCGCTGAGCTGCCCTCTCCATTTCCATGCATCTGCAAGTCTGTGTTAGTCCATGCTTGCCTTTACCCAGGCTGCCTCAGCACTACAGGGCTCTGGCAGGGACCCGAGGGCTGTGTTCCCCAGACCGCGAGAACCCTGAGCCTGCGAGCTCTCTGCTCACTGGAGCTGGAGCTGTGGGATGGCCTTGCTCTTGTTCTGAGTCCATGGAAGCCAAATGGCCACAGAGATGTTGTGACACACATCTGCAGCCACGAGGAAGAGATATGTCCATCTCCTGGGAGGGCTTGTATGTCACCTTGACTCAATTTACAAAATGGTCTTAACCTTTTCCGATTCCATGTAATAGGGACTGGCCTGAACGAAAGCTGTGTGGCACGCACAGGTGCCATGTGATGTTTTCCATTTCTTTTGCTCAGTTCTTTCTTCTTCCTCAGGAAAACGGTGCTTCTCCTGATTCACACACAGAAGAAGTGTGTCGGCTCCTAGCTCTGCGGAGGCTCCTCGGAGTTGAATCTGGACTGCTGGGGCCTCTGCCCCAAATGAGGAGGACTCAACGCCCGTCTTGTGTCAGGATGGTGAGGTGAGTGCTGCTGAGAAAACTCATCTTCCACAAAGTACAACAGGAGTGTTGTGAGGTGCGTAAGTATCGTGACGGATTCCCATGAATAAAATGGGGTCCCTGCCCTCTGGATTTACAGTCTCAGGGGGAAGGCAGTGTAAGAAACATCAGTCACGCAGATGGATTAAAGGGCCTGCAGAGACCTGAGGGGCTGCAGGTAGGAGGGCCGGCCTTAGAGACAGCTGTGGGGAAACTGGGACAGGTAAGCCAGTGACACAGGTGTGTGCATTCCAGGCCCAGGGCCAGCTCAGCAGAGGAATCAGTGGAGGCTGAGTCCTGAGCCTGCCATGTTAGTCACAGGAGGCAGTGTGGATGTGGCCGGGAAGGTGGGCTGGGCTGTTTCCCGTCTATGGAGTGCTTACCCCTAAGGGATCCTGGGTGACCATTTAAAGTAGGGAGGGCCCTGACCTTTCCTGAGTTCTCCAACTCTGTGGGCCACAGGCACTAGTGAAGATTTTTGTGGTCTAAGCTGTGCTCTGAGAAAGTCCCTGGAGTGGCAGTGAAGGCTGTGTGTCAGGATGACATATACTGTGCTGGTCACCGTGACAAAATACCCACAATCATTAACTAAGGTTGCAGCTCGTGGTTCCAGAGGTTTCAGTCCTTGGTCCTTGGGCCAGTTGCTGAGAGCAAGTGGCAGGCTCAGAGGAGCCAGGAAGCAGAGAAAGAGTGTGTGAGGAGGGACTGGCGTCCCAGGGTCCATCAAGGCCACCTCCCCAAAGGCCTCACTTTCTCCCACCAGCCCACTTCCTCAAGTTCCCCCTGCCTCCCAGCAGTGGCACAGGCTGGGGACTGTGCTTTGGGGGTACGTGAGATCCAGACCCTGACAATCCAGGAGACCTAGGAGGGGGCACCTCAGAGGTGCATGCAAGAGAGGGGAGTGGGGAGGATGCGATCAGCCCACACAGGACACCTGCCAACAGGGTGCACCTGGGTGCTGCTGAGACGTGGCACATGGCGGGAGGGGACTGAGCAGGAAGCCCTGGCCCCAGGCACAGGAGCACACATCCCTCCGCAGAGGTTTCGGTCTGGGCCCCCTCCGGAGCCAGCAAGGCTTTGGCGGTCCCTCTTGCTGTCCACCAGGGCTCCTGGAGGAAGGGCTACATTGCCTGCCACGGCACCTGACGGGCGTGCCCAGCACTGTGGAGTGTGCGAGGCGGAGGCATGTGCAGACGCACAGGCAGAGAGCGTGGAGTCCGCCACTGCTCTGAGCGCCACACACAGAGCGATAGTTGGTTGTCCTCCTACTGAAGCGCCCATGCAGGGTGCTCCTTACTGCGCTGGCCGCGACCCTCAGCCCTCTGGGAACCACTGTTGACATTGGCAGCCCAGCCCTGGCCCAGCCAGTCTTCCTGCTCTCACAGAAGCAGGACCAGGGGTAGTTGCCAAGGGCCCAAGGGACCTGTGCCTGTGTGCAGTGGCCCAAGGCCAGGAGAAGAGGGAGACGCTGTGCAGACAGAGGCCAGCTGCAGGGTGGGACAAACCCAAGTCTGAGGGCACAGGGAGCAGGCTGGAGAGAGGTGCCCAGGTGGGGACAGGTGCGAGGGACGATGAGGGGAGACGGGGAGAGGAGCTCGGCTCTCAGGGACGGAGGCGTCCTGGTGCCCTCAGCTGTCATGGGGGCGGGGACAATGTGAATGCTGGATGGTGACCCTGGGTCAGCACAGGAGGATGGTCTGTGCCATTTCTGGTTGCTGTGGACTGAGGGGTGTGGGGCAGTGACAGGAGGAGGCTGCGTGCGCACACAGGAAGCCCCATATGCCCAGGACCTACACGGGGTGAACCTGAGGGTGCAGAGCGCAGCACTCCGCCCCTTGGCTCTCGGGAGGGGAATGCTGCCAGCCCCACCTCCGCGGCTGACGGGGCCGGGGGACCCAGGAGGGCCGCTGCCGGGCCGCTGGGCAACGCTCCTGCGGAGTCCACAGTGTAGTCCCACAGCCGCTCTGGAGCCTGGGATGGGGCATCCATGAGTACAGGGCGCCTGGCCTGGCCGCGGAGGCCCAGGAGGTCGGCTGCCTCCTGCAGCTGTGCTGCCCCCCGTCAGGTCAGGAAACCGCTCCCGGGCCGGAGGTAGCAAAGCGGACCCCACCCGGTGGAAGGCGGAAGGGGCCGGTCGTGCTCCCATCTTACTTAGTAACAGGCTCAGCCAGACTCTGCGGCCATGGCCACCGCGCTTTATGCTTCCCAGATACGCATCAACCTGGTCTTCATAACCAAGGCCAGGCCAGAGGCAGCGGCCTCAGGCCCTCCCTCCACTCCCCCAGCCCACCCCGTTTCCTTCCTCCTTCTGGCCCCTGGAGAGTTCTCCTTCTTGTATAAGTTTTTCTAGTCTAGAACCCTCCTATAGGGGTGTGAAGCTCAGTGGTGTAGTGTGTGCTTAAGCATGCGCGAGGCCCCAGTTCAATCTCCAGCTCTAAAAAGGAGAAAAAGCAAAAGAAATAGCCACTTTCTTATAAGTGGATGCCTGTGCTATTTGTTCTGGATTTCTGGTCGACGAGAGTGTCTTCAGTGTTTATCCTTATGGTAATGTGTCAGAATTTTAGCTGAGGGCTGGCCAAATAGCTCAGCAGATTAAAATGTCTGCAAGCAGGTGTAGGGGCTGGGGGTTCGATCCCCAGGCCTGCGATGGCACTTGAGACCGGATGTGGTGGCACACACTTGTACTCCCAGCTCTTGGGAGGCTGTAAACAGGCACATCACTACAAAGTCTGAGTAGTGAGCCTCTGAACACCCTGTAGACCCTTCCCTAAAATACAATAAATAAATAAATAAATAAAAATGTTTAAAACAGAATTTTAGCTGAGTCATAATCCCTTTTTTTTCTCATTTACATATTTTATTTGGAAGTGTTTACACCAGTACAGTGAAACTAAAGTTTAGAGAATATTTGTGATTAGGTGTCATCAGTTTATTATAAAAGAGACATGGAAATTATGTACCTGATGAAAGACGCAGAACCTCAGTGGAACGGGCAGCGTTGGGGACGCCACGTCAACAGTGATTTACTTCACTCTACATATTTTCCAAGAATGTCGCCATCTCTAAACAAGAAATAATCCTTGTCGTCTAGAACTACTTTGGTGCCTCCATATTCTGGAAGAAGAACTTCATCTCCAGCTTTCACACGAACTGGTTGGATCTCTCCACCCTTCCCCTTGGAGCCGGACCCCACAGCGACCACAGTTGCCTACAGCACTTTGCCTTGAGATTTTTCTGGAAGCATAATGCCTCCTTTGGTGACAATTTCAGCTGCGCTCCTTTCAACCAACACGCGGTCAAACAGCGGGTGAAACTTCCGAAGTGCCTGTCCTGCCATGGCTTGGGCCCCGCAGCTCGCTCCGTCACCACGCCGCCTCCGCAGAGAGCCATAATCCCTTTTATGTTCACCAGATTTTCTTGTTTATTCTCCCTTGGTGACCTCTAGATTGACCCCACCTTTACTGTTGCAAACAGGGCAAGCTGTATTTGTTTCTGCTTTCAGATTCTTGGGGTGTGTGAGAAATGACATTGGTGGGATTCCACGCTTCCCTGAGCTGGAGGGCTGTGAGCACTGCATGTCTGAGGCTCTGCCAGGGCTGCAGCCCAGCAAGGAGATCAGATTGTGGCTGGAACTTCTGCAGTGATTCCATGACTCGGGAACAAAGCCACAGCCTCAGCCAGAGCGGCCTTCCTGGAGGGGCCCCCTTGCCTGCATCCCCACTGCACCCTGAGAGTCCCAGCTGCAGTGGCTCAGGAAGCATGGGTTTGCACCCTGGGATTCTCAGGTCCAGCCTGTGTGGAATTAACACCCTGTCCCAGAATGTGGGTGCTGAGGGCACCTGAGCCCAGCCTCCTCTGCCCAGCCTGAGGCGTAGCTCCTTGCTCTGTGCGCCCCACTCAGGCCTGCTGATCCTGTTCATCCCTGGCAGAAGGAAATCCAGGCCAGGGACCATTCAGCGCTTGGGTTGGGCTCCCTTGGGCATGGGGGCGTGCGGTATGAAGCACAGGGAGGCTGCATGGGTCTCCACATGGGAAAAAAATGACAGGAGAGGAGGGAGCCACCATCCAGAAGTTATAATGCTTGGGAAAGCCGAAGCTCAGAGACAGGTCTGAGCTCCCAAGCCCTGGCCCTGTTTCTTACTTCCAGGTTCCTCGCTCCTAAGGGCCCAAGAGCCTTAGAGGTACCGTGTAATCCATAAGTTGGACCTGTGCTTTTCTCCTGATCCTGCAAATTCCAACTCTTTCGCGGGCACCCCAGGACTGCGTCTAGACTCCTCCTGCAATGTCTCTGGAACTGGAGCTATGGGTGTGGCCCTGCCCCTTCCTAGATGCCCTCGGTTCCGGCATTTCATTTCCAACCACACCCTCCTAGGGCTAGCCCTGCCCTCTTCTCCACGCACACAGCATGGGGCCACACTGCCTGGTTCTGTGTGTGTGCGTTAGAGACCACGCTGACTCACGCAGACACAACTGAGAATGCAGAGCGCAGCTCTGGCCCGAGCTAGGGTTTTCCCTCCTGGGCCCCCTTGGGGCTTTCTCTGTGTGGTTACCGAGGGTGAGAGTTCTGATGTTTGCAGAGATCAGAGGCTGCAGGCTGTCCATGGCCTGAGGATGAAGCCAGCTCTTTCCAGTCACCCTTGTGATGGTTCAGCTTCAGGACGTGTTCACCTTCTAGCCACTCAAGCCCTCAATGCGAAGTCAAAGTTTCTGTTCTCTTTTCTTCTAGAAAAGAGGTCAGCAAACTGCAGTCCATGTTCAGATTGCAGTGCTGAAAATATTCACCATCTGGCCTTGCTAGTAGACAGTTCCAACCCCCGCTAGAGGACAGGAAGTGTAGGAATTAAAGGTTCTCACTGAAATGGAGGAGGGTCAGGTGGGGGACACTGAGCCTGGGGGCAGAACTTGGCTTGTGATGCAGATGTGCAGCTTTGGAGATGAGGGCTCCAAGCCCTCCGCAGAGCCTCAGAGGGGTCCGCGGCTCCCAAATGGGGAAGTCAGGAGCCTTGTGTGTCGCGTCAGCAGCATGTTCACGCTGCAGAGGGGGCGATGTGCTCCCCCAGCCCAGGGCTGCACCTCAGATGCCCGAGGGCCCGAGGACCCTGGCAGGCCCGCCCACGTCTGTCCCAAAGCCTCCGTCTGCCCACCCATGTGAGCTGGCCCCTTTTAGGCCTGCGTTGTCATGATTCACATCCGGTCACCGATGCAGTGTGGTGACCGACAAATGAGGCAGCCACAGGCTGCATAGGGAGGCAGTAACAGCACCCGGACGAGTCCTGGCTTCGCCTCGGGGGCTGGGCTGCAGGGGGCTGGCGCTGGCCCCGCTGGGCACTGCTAGGCCGTGCACACGCACAGCATGGCCCTCTTGAAGAAGGCCCCACCCAGGATGTAAAAAGGAAAGCATCTGAGATTGATGTCTGTTTCCCTGAGGACGCTTGGTACTGCTCCACCAGAAAGCAAAATGTGGTCAGTGGGCATGTAGGCCAATTTGACAGGAAGGATAAGCTTGGATTTAAGTGAATAAGTAATATTCAACCAACTTGTAAAAATTACACTTGACATTCTGAAAGGCAGACCCATGCATTTGCTCACACATAAGAGGTCCCCGCTGAGGTGACACAGAACTCTGCTCCTGATTCCCACGGAGGCCTGGCCATGGAGATAAAAGCTGGAGTGCAGACCCGCTGCCTAGAGTCCAGGGAACAGGGCTCTGTCTCCTGGGCCAGCGGTCCACAGGCAGCAGCACTCCTGAAAGATCCAGTCCGCATCCAGGCTTGTGGAGCAAAGTCTGGTCCTGAGGGGCTTTGGTCAGGTGTTCAGCCCCTGGGGACACGAGGTGGGGACAGGGCATCCCAGAGCCATGGTGCTGGCTGGCCCTGCGAGGCACAGGACTGCTGTCGGGGTCCCTGCGTCCTGCGGATGCGCCACCCCCTCCCTGTGAGGACCCGAACGGCCTGGGCCTGGATGGCTGCAGAAGGAGAGTGCCCCCGGCTGCTGTCCCCGTAATCACCATGCTTTGCCGGCAGGCTCCCCCATGCTAGTGATGTGGGGAAGGAACCCCCAACCTGCTGGGTGTCCAGGATGAGCTCCTGGTCTCTACAATTGAAGGATGAATGTTAAGAACCATGGAGGTTAAGAGCAAAATGTATTTATTGGGGGAGAGAAAGCTTCTGTCTGAGAGGGACAGAAGGGGTCCCAGCGG